AGGCTTTACTTGTATTCGTCTATTTGTTTACTTGGGATGGACAGTCATCACAATCTTAAACACCATTGGATCAGTACTACTTGATTTTCTCTTCATAATAAAGTGCACAATTTCAAGATGCTCAAGTTGGGATTATGTTTTCTTCAAGTTCAAAATAGATCAATTAATAACACGTAACTAGCTTAACTTCCGACAAAAAAAATAATATAGCGCAACGAAATTTATTTGTTTCATTCTCTGAACTTTTTTATTTGTTACTTTTTTTTGGTTACTCGTTTTCTGGTTTTATATGCATGTATACAAAAATAATATGTTGTAGGAAAAGGTAAATTATATATCTTTGATATCCTTCAAGTTTGTCCAATGATAAAATATTACTATAGTTAATGACCTGTGTATATTATTTTTAACTTGAATTGAATTTTTAACCATATGTCAAACGTACATCCAAAGCATATAAATGTGATTTTTTTAAAATTTTTTTTACTTATTTTCAATCAAATGTGATTACATTTCTAAAATTAACCATGTTTGAGAAAAGCAAATAGTGTTAAAATTATTGGTCATTAATTATATGGTAATTGTAATAATTGTTAGAGTTTAAGTGTGAAGTGAGTCATACATTAGTTAGAATTTGACATGTTGAATAATTTATAAATGGAAAAAAATTTATTTATCTAATACCTTAAAGTTTTAATTTATGTTATAGTTGTCTAGGTGCTTAGAATTTTTCCAAATATTTCTAATTCGAAAACATTTTATTATATGAGAAGTACTTCAAGAAATTATGTAAAAACATCTTTTTATTGTTGAATAGAGTACCTACTCTACATAGATTAGGTATTCAAGAATTTACGTAAGGAAATCTCATATTGCAAAATAGAGCACCCACTCTGCATATATTAGATATTTAGACATTCCAACCCATTTTAGTAGAAAAGTATGCTATTTGTTTGCATCCATTAATTTGCAAGGATTTAATGTAGACTTTGGACCAATGAGTACTTCGTGAATAATGAAGTTGACAAAAGATTTAAAAATGAGATTATCTCTAGTATTGAAAATCTCCCTAATATATGGAAGTTGTGTCATTAATGTGCAATAACCTTATAAGTAAGGTCACAATACCAAGCGTTGGAATTCAAGTATAAAATAAGTATCATTTTAATTAATTAAATATGTTAAATAATATATAAGTAAAATTATCCATTTATCTAATATCCTAAAATTTTAAATTATGTTATAATATCAAACTCATTTATATAATTTATTCCGTATCTAAACACTAATAATAGCGATATTAACCCAATTTACTGTATCTTTGTACGTGTAATATATTTATAATTCTTACCAAACAAAGTAGTTTTCTGAAGGTAAAAAAGACAAAAGTACTTCATCTCCTACAAATGAAATAATTCAGTGATCTACAAACCCTAGTATAATTGTAGATAGTACATCTTCCATAAATTAAGCACTGCACATAAACAGTACCTCCAAAATATGCTTCCAGTTATATTAATATTACTAATATCATCTTCTCTTGTTACCTTTTTCTTCTTAACTACACATAGTAAATACTACCTTCGTCCTTGAGATTGTTTTGTGCAAATTAGAAAACCTAGTAAAACCTCTTATTTTTATAGAATAATTTTGATGTTTTTTATTATATCTCTTTTTTTTCTTCATAAAAATACATACTAATTGTCATTAATAAACTAATTAAAAATTAGATGAGATGTAAGAGTGTAATTGATAAATAATATTAATATTATCTTAAAATTTAAAAATGACAAATAAATAAAAACAAAATTTTATTAAAAATCTGACATATAAAAAAGAATAGAGAGAGTAATTCAGAGGGGGAGGCAGATATTATCGAAACGAATATAAAATTCACTTTAATTAATTTTCTAGCTTCACGATACTCAAAGTTCGTCCCTTGATTTTTTTTTTCCAAATATGAAAACATGTAGCTTTTTGGGCTAATAGATCATGTGAGCACAAATTCGTTCGTTGAGAACATGGAGTGGGGGAAACACTATATGCATAGGTTTGTTATTCCAGGAAAAAAAATAATGCAAATATTCTTAATACTTTCTATAATTACGGTAGTTTGATTTTTTTAATAAATGTTACTTTTTAATATGATTTTATTAAAATAACTCATTCTTTCAATAAATACATTACTTTTAAAAAAATTAATTAATATTGTATTAAAAAGTAAAAAAATTATTTATCTTGAGGTTTTTTAAGTACTAAAATTACAATTAAATATTTTGACATAGCTAATGATTTATGGAGTGTAGGATAGATTTAAGAAGGAGATAGAGGTAAAAGTTGTGGGGGTAAAAGGGGACAGAATGAAACAGTTTTAGCACAAAAAGAGTATGTGTTGTTGAGATCGAGATCCCATGCTTATTTCATCCTTTATATTTCCAAGACAGCTCGAGTGAGTTTACATTGTAAAATGGGTTTCAGTAATTAACTAAACATCATTCTTTCTTTCCATGCCCATGTCTTCTGAAAACTTCCAAATACCTATACCCTGCAATCGTCAATCCCTATAAACATCATCAATAATAAATAACACCATGTGTTTTCAAAAGCTAATTGGTTATTTTAACATTGATTTTATTAGTACTATTTTAATGTAATTGAGCTTTCGATATGGGTTTTTTGTTTTGTTACATTTCGAGTGAGTTTACATGGAAGGATATGGATTATCTACACACGTAATCCCATTAGTTATTTCCAAGAAATTTAAGAAACTTACTTAAAATTAAAGGACGTTTAATGCTAATTAATTACTATACTAATATTAATAGTCAACATGGCAACCTAACTTATAGATTATTTTATCTAATGCGATTTGAATGCAATCAAAGTAGACTGTAATCTTAGACTTCATTTTTTTTTTCCTCAACAAAGCCTAAACAAATTTGATTTATAGTACTGTCAAGGTTTCAAATTCTTGAGTTATTACTCTTGGGACGAGACTTTGCTTAAAACTGGCTCAATTAAGTGTTAGTTTCACAGTAATGCATGCGAAGATACGTACTCGGACAAAATATAACCAGAGATTAATTAGAATTGATATGTCCCTTTCAAGTTTAATGATAACTTGTTACTCAGTAAAAGAAAGTTCTAGATGGTAAAATAATAGAGACGATGGAATTTTTACAAACCAAAAACATGCGTGTAGTTATAAACAATAAGGTACCAATAGTAAGATATTAAAATATAGCTCCTTAATGATTTCATTATGCACAATGCTCTATTTGAAATTTATAAAACAAAGGCTTTTTCTTGCAATGATAATCTCTTCCCCTGTTGTCCAATCATTTTCTATAATATATATATATATATATATGTATATTATCTGACTTGTAACTGGTATAATCATTAGTCTGACATAAACTATAGTATATATCAAATGAAAGAATAAATAAAGCGACTCAATACTAATAATGTACAGTCTGGAGAGACTAAATTAGGACAGTTGGTGACACTTAATCTTGGAAGAGAGACGGCAGTTAAATATTGGAAGTATGATGATTGAGAGTCACTGTTCGTACAAAGTTGTGACATCATTTTCACTATTCGTTTAATTGAATTCACTGTGCATGATGATGGTGAAATATAATTCTATCATACATAACTAAAGAAACTCAAAGCACAGGGCCTGTTTCAAGATTGAACACCAACCTCTGCGTTTTTCACCACTCAACATTATTATTTTTTGTCCATTCATAAATGAACGGATTAAACTGAATTGATGTCTGGTCAAGTTGACAATAAAATCCGGATTAATCATGATTTCCATTCCACCCCACAATAAAATGAATTGGAATGCATGTAAGAACATCCAAGTTTCCAATCATAATTTTCATTGGATGTATATTTTTTTTTCAGTATATTAAAACACTTTCACTTCCATTGAAATTTAATTATTAAATGAAACATAAATCAGTTATTCACATAGTTATTTATTACATACAAACTTGGATACAAAAAAAAAAAAAAAAAAGTAGTTCCTTGGGGAGATAAGAGCAATTTTTTCAGTCATCAATGGCCCTCCGAAAAGTCCAAAAATGATGTCACTTTCACAGTAGCTTTGAGCTTTTGACAGAGACCACAAACTGTTAGCCCATTCTGAGATCATAATGGAGATGTTGTCACTTTGTGTTGTGTCCTTTAAATATTTTGGCAGCTAAAACATGCACATAAAGCTGAATTTAAATGTACTCACTTTCCTATGCTGATTTGGAGATTGATAAGAATGAGTTGGATAAGGACTAAGCTGTTGGTAAGTGGGCCTAAGGTCCAATCTTTATATGGGTCTTCAACACACTTTCTGAACGGTCTCTTTACGGCGCAAAAACAATAAGAAAGAGGCAAGGGAAGACACTGGGAAAATGAAATTTCTCATTCAGTTGTGGAAGCACACCAACACTTCTTTGAGTTCTTTCGTTTCCGATTTCCAAGTACCGTTTTCTTGTCTCTTGAGATCCCACAATTTGATTTCATTTACTGTCCCTTCAACAAATTGAGCTATGTGATCATTAATGCATTACATGAATTTAAGATGGTAATGATACATTACATTCTATTTCAACTTGCATTTTTTTTTTCTAGTCATATTGGTGTCAATAAATCAAGACTTTCATCTCATAAAATCACAATACCATGTAATGGACTCACATTGTAAGGACAATTTATTTAGCAAAGAATTTGGCGTTTAATCTCTGTCATGTACAAAAATCTTTTGGACTAACAACCCAATAAATTGAAAATTACTCGCAGCATTATAAAAAAAAAAAAATCTCAAAATCACATCGAGTATATAGTATATTCAAGATTAGTAGTTGTCATTTCACATTCTATACATCGATGTGAGCGGCCTGTTACTCTTAACGTATCTAAACATATTCTAAAAACTAATTTTTTATGATAAATTAGAAAGTATTAAATATTTTCTTATTTTGAAGGCCTGTTACTTGTGCCTTTCAACTAATCAAATATTATTATCAATTCCTTGATCTTAAGGTGCATTTTAACAACACTCACAACAGAAATAATACATATTACAGTGATAGTTACACACTAGGGTGTCAAGAATTGCCATTAACATCAGGGACAGTAGAGGTCTAAAATTGAGGAAAATAACGATAACCCCACATTCCAGCTTTTGCCTCAACCAGGACCATGTCACCATCCTCATCAATGGTAAAACTAGAAAAACTGTTCATTGGACGATAGCTTCGTGTACCAAAAAATTACAAGTGCATAAATAAGCCAAAAATAAAATAAAGGATGCGGTAGAATGTTTAACCCATCCTAGATTGCCGATAGTCATCCTAATTAATTTAAGAAACAATGAATCGATAAGCAAACATAATACTACATATATATTATATAGAATAGAAACATACTATGGTAATATTTTTTAAAGAAAAATAATGAGTATTACGTGAGTCATTCATCACACATAAATGCCACCTTAAGTTCGCCAAAAGAAGATTGTAGATGAAGTCCCTATCTATGTTTCCAAAAGTTGGGTCTGGGCAATAGGTGAGTAATCTACTGTTGTTTATCATTCTTAGCCTCCAGTTGTTCCCCCTTGTATTTTGACTTGGCAGGGGCGATCTTGGAAGGGTTTGAACGCTCTGACTGTGAGAATTGAATCAAAATGTGCATAAGTGCAGTAACAACTGCCAAACCAAAAGCTGAGAACGCAACACCCTTCCAGGAAGATAGTAGTGAAGACCATTGTAGGAACTTCACAGACCCCGCAACAAGAAGACAAGCCCAAGATATAATTACCTGCTCCCAACATGAAATTGATGGTTCTTTATGAAAACATCTATCGGATTGACCAAAAATAATGGAAAACGTCCATGGGCAAATGGGATACAAAGGAAAAGCATTAGACATGTTTAGAAAGCATCTCACCAGAAGAGACTTTATTGGTCGACCAGTATCCTGTAGCTCTTGATCACTAAAGGTATCCTCAGCTATATGTTTGTCTAACAAAGCATCCTAGTTTGCGAACAGGTAAAAAATAATAAAAAGAGTGATATTGTTGAACAAAGTACAATAATATTATAATATATAAAGAAAATAAAAGTGCAAATAGAACATTTTGCACAAATTTTCAATATCTACCACTAATATAGTTCTACATAGAAAAAAAACGAACACTTATACCACATTTACCGATATGTGGACCCTCTTACGAAAAAAAGAGAGAAAATAATAAAAAAGTAAAAAAGTTCTCTCAACATGCACCTTGGCGACAAATATATCTCTACACCATTGAGCAACAGCCTCATCTGTTTCTGGCAATTCCTTCATCAAATGCCGCTTGATATGAACATGCACCTGTGGAAGGAATATTATGGATTGAGACAAAAAAAAAAGAGCAATTGATGCAAGTTTTTTTGAAAGAGAATTTTTTTGAATCTTATCTTCTGTTGGAGATTGAGACAAAAGACGATAATTTTTTAAATACTCTACAAATTGAGCTTCCAATCATAGTTATCAAAATCTTAAGATTCATGATTCATATTTTACGATTCAATAAGATTTCGCTAATTAGTGATTGTTATCAAAAAGATGAATCTCAAATGACTTTAAACCTTCCGACATGAATGAATATGTGCAATTTCGTATTTATCAAAACGAACAACACAATTCAACAATTCATTAATTTTTTCTTTTTCATTTTTTGCTTTTCTTCCGCCAATTTTCATAAAAGAATTTGAAAACTATATAAGCTTAAATTGTTGAATGAAAAGGAATTGAAGGAGCACTTCTCAACTTATCCTATTTGATCATTCCACTACTCTATTTGTCACCCACTCATTCAATGCTTGCACTTTATTTGGCCATTTCCTTGCTTCTTTTCCATTATTCTACAATAGAGGCTTTACAATCTCATATATAAGGACTAATAAATTTGTTTTATGAAATTTATGGGTAAGTTGTTTTATCTATTTTTAGTTTAAAATTATTGCATTGAATTGAACACTATATCATCTATATGATTCATGATTTGAATCTAAATTTGATAACCTTGCTCCCAATTTTGATTCCAACTCAATCAATGACCAATGATGATCAAGGTGATATTGAGTAATATGCACTAGAACCTATAATGAATACATATATGAAAACAAACACTATTAAAAATGAAAACCTGAGTAAGGTTCCCTCAAGGAAACAATGTCTGAGAAACCAAGTAGAAAAGAAGAGGAACAAAATGTCTTCACAAAGAAGAAATATTTTCCACAAAAGGCGGGTCTTCGATGAAACAATGCCAAACAAATAAAGCATGACTAGTAGCAAAAGAGTTCACTCAAAGTCTCAAACAAGGTTGATTATTCTGAAACATTGGCATCCATGGCCAAGCTCAATACTGTCAGTGTTCTTTTATCAGTAGCTGCACTTGGATTAGCCACTACAACAATTAGATGTCAAGAATGCATTCTTAAATGGAGACCTAGAAGTTTACATGGACTCTCCACCCAGTCTTATAAGCAGTATGGTTCAAGAGTATGCAAACTGAAAAAACATTTTATGGACACAAGTAATCCCCTAAAGCATGATTTGATAAATTTACTCAACTATGAAGAAAGAAGGATATTCTCAAGGGCAAACTGATCATACTCTGTTAGGGATGTTCTCACCCACAGATAAGGTTGCTGTTGTGAGCTTGTGATAGTTAATGTAGATGACATGATTCTTACAAGAGATGATGTTGACGAGATGGAGAGAGTAAAGAACTGCTTTGTTGAAGGTTATTTGGTTAGACTTAGGATAAGTTTGCTTCATCATTATGTTTTCTGCTGTTTATCCTTGGGATTAGGATAAGGTTGTATTTATCATTATGGAACAGTTTTGTTATCTGAGGAGTTCAGATAAGTTTGGAGAAACTTTGTAACCTTTCTTATTTCTTCCCTCTGTCTATATATTTTGTAATATGCTCCTGCTGAACT